GTTTTTCTCCAGGTCCTTTTTTTTTCCTCCCTCCATCAAAAACTAGCTGTGAGGAGTGTTTTTTTGTAAAATAATGAATGTTGAGGTAGTAAGTGTGAGTTTTTTTTTAGAGGGCCACAAGTTTATTAGTCTAGAGACTATTTTTTTTTACCCTCTCAAAATAAAAGACTTTATAGCTTACATTTTTTTTTGTAGACAACCATGGATGGACAAATTTTCTATAAAGAATTGTGGAGCCCTGAAAAATGAAAAAATATTATATATTCAATTTTTTTATTTACATTAAGTTAAAGAAAGAAATTTGACTGCTTTTTTTTACAGCATTTCTGTGCTTGCTGATATTTCAAAAGCATTTTTTTAATTACCCTTACATTCATAAGAGAATTAAGATCATTTTTTTTATTGTTTTTAAAAAGATCAAATTAGATGTCAAAACTTTTGCATACAACCATCGCATGCAACCTGCGTAAGTCATCCTTTTTTTTTGACTACAACTGTCAAAGGGATTTAAAACATTGTATTTTTTTCATAAGGATGACTTAATACGCAGATCAGATGATGGTTGCATGGAAAAATTGTGCCGTCTAATTTGTCCTTAAAGATCTTTTTTTTCTCACCTTGGTGGTTGGTGAGAGGAGCCATATCATTTTTTTGATCTTGATTTCATAATAAAATGGGAACCTAAATATTTTTTTATCAAATAATGTTGACTTTACATGTACTAAGAACATTTTTTTGTGTACAATGTAATTTAAACCATTATCTAATGGCTTTTTTTTTCATTACCATAATTTCCTTTTTTAATTTGGAACAAGATTCTTGAAATACATGGGAGTGTGTGTCATTTTAACACAATTTTTTTTAACAAAATCCTTTTTAAACAAATTGGCTTTACATGTTTTTTTTACAGTGTAATGTTATACTGTAATTAACCATTCTCTTTTTTTTGTCAATCTCATTACAACAATTTCCTATACAACTCTTTTTTTACTGTACATGGTCATGTACATTGTGTCATTTTAAATTTTTTTGCGTTTCTTTAAAGCTGTGTTAAAATCTTGTAAGCTTTTTTTAAAAAAAATCACTGCTTAAATTCTAGAGAGAAATGTTTTTTTGGGGGTATGGGAAATACAATCTGTATTCAATCATGTTTTTTTCTTACCAAACTCCTAACAGTAAGTCTGCAAAGAGCTTTTTTTTTGTAAACAATGCAAACACCACCCAATACATCATCTTTTTTTCCTAAAAATGAAAAAAATTGTTTCAAAATGATTCATTTTTTTGCTAGCACGTCTGCACTCATGATGGACATTATGATTTTTTTTGTAAATACAACACAATACTCACAATACTAAGTAATTTTTTTTAATTACAAAACAAAACAAATAATTTCATTAAAAAATTTTTTTATACAATAGAACAAGAATATCTTATTTTTCATTCTTATTTTTTTACAATTTAGAGTTAACATGCTTCTAATTTTTATTTTTTTTTTTATTTATTGAAATTAACGCACAATACAGCTGTCTTTTTTTGACTAAATGGGAAAAAGCTAAAATGTCTGTCATGTTTTTTTTTTTGCACGATGATATATATACATTTTAACTGAAATTTTTTTTATAGTTATTTATTGACCATTTATAATAAGGCTGTAGTTGAAGCTATCATCAAAAACACCTGCTCAGGGCCATGTAAATTTTTTTGTTTGTAATGGTTCACATAATTTATGATATTGATTTTTTTTTTCAATTTTCTTTGACTTTCTTATTGTAAAGTGAGCTTTTTTTACCAATCAGGCAACAGTAATTTCAACAAATTCAAAGTTCCAATCGATTAGTCAATTGATTTTTAAAGTGGCACCAAGTTTTTTTTAATAATGAAGAATGAATCACAAAAATAGTCCGAGTTTTTTTAATTTTACCATTTTACTGACCAATGATTAAAATTTTTTTTTTAATGGATCCCAAAATTTTATGACCACTGTCAATATTTTTTTTTGAAAATCTACATTCACTTTGACACTCTATAGAATTTTTTTTATTTTGATAAAACAGATTTCACAGCTGCAGGCTAATTTTTTTCAGCAGTTGGTCCCTTTAGATGACTATCATAGACTTTTTTTTCATGGCCCAAAATGACACATCAAAACAGTCATCATTTTTTTTCATTTGATTTGATAAAAGATTTCCAATAATATTACATGGAAAGCATTTAGTTATATATTTTTACAAAAACCATTTTCTTTTTTTAATTAATTTATAATTAGTATTGTATATTTTACTTGTTTTTTTTTAATCCACTTTAAAGGGTACAAAACATTCATATATTTTTTTCCTAGGTATGTTCAACATGTATTAGATCACAGTTCTTTTTTTTTATTTTTGTTTTGTTTATAAACATATTTTTTCTGTTTTTTTATTATTTATTGTTTTTTGTTCAGAATGGCCAGTTATTTTTTTTGGAAGTTCAGTGGTTAATAATTAAAAGTAAATTATTTTTTTTTATCCAAAGATGTACAACTGTACGCCTTCATGGTGTCATATGTAGTCCTTCAGATGTAAGTGATTAAAAAAATCGTGCTTCAAACCATATTGTCAATTATTCATTTAAAAACCCAAGTCACAATATCCTCTGATCATCTACCTAGTCACACTGTCTAATGTATACCAAAAAAGACGTCACAAAATGACAGTTCCTTCACTTGTTTTTTTAATTCTCTTTTAAAAGGATTAGTATTTTTCCTCAAATGAGAAGTTGAGCTATTTCAATCAAGGATGGAGCAGATGGTTTTTTTTTTAAAAAAAATATAGCCTAAGAAATATGATCTTAAAGAAATAACAGCTAATAATTAACAACCATGAGAAATTTTCAATTTTTTTATTAGGTAGCTTAAAAAATGTATAATTTTCAGTGATTTTTTTTATGTACACAATCATGTACATATAAGTTTTCTGACTCTATTTTCCAAAACAGAGCAGAATGAATACCATAAATTATTTTTTTTTAATACCAAAAACTGCTTGTTATTTAAATGGACTTCTTTTTTTTTGGTAAACAGTTGTTGGAAAATAGGGTAAGACTGTTTTTTTACATGGAGATTTGTAAGATAAATGGGCAATTCAATTTTTTTTTACAACACCAACTAAAAAAATACATAATTGAACTTTTTTTTTTATAATTAAACCTTAACTTAAATATATTGTACAATTTTTTTTAGTTTACATGGTCAGTAGAATTTGCATATCAATAATTTTTTTATATAGCTTATAATGCACTTATATAGCTTTATATATTTTTTTCACTTTTCATACAATATTTGAGTTAAACCTTGAACTTTTTTTTTTAAGACCACCAGCCTGAGAGGAAACAATATTTGTTTTTTTTTTTATTCCCCAGCAGTCGGCCTTGAATTTCTTTTTTTTTTTTAGCCATATATAGCCATTCAAACAGAGTATTTAAATTTTTTTATTTTGGCTTAGAGGGAAAGATTGCAAAAAGGTCTTGGGATTGTTTTATATTTTTTAAGCTGTACATMTTATCTGAGTTTTTTTTAAATAACTGTACAAAAAATATTGAAACAGTTGATTTTTTTTTGACAGCCATCTGCWTTAATTATTTTGTTTTGAAATTTTTTTAACTAGAGGCAACTGAATTTAATGAGAAATTTATATTTTTTTTTATTTAAGATTTAAGCTAAGCATTTAGCAATTACATTTTGGTTTCTTTGAAAGTTAGTTGATCAATCATTTGAAAGTTTTTTTGTGGGATAAAAGGGAGCAGTACATCAGGTCCTTGATTTTTTTAATGTGCAGATCTGATTTTATGAAAACATCACTTCTTTTTTTAATTACTGCCCATGTTTCCTTGACATAAAATCTACTTTTTTTACATTAGAACTGCAAACAGACCATTGCAAAGATAATTTTTTTTAAAATGTCAAAAAACCGCCCGATTCTAAACATTATTTTTTTATTTTTTATCAAACAAATACATGTAAGCCTTGAATTTTTTTTGTAAGATTTGCCCAAATGTACAATACATTATAAGGTTTTTTTATAGAGAAAAGGATCTTCAAAATCTCGCTCACTGACAACATAATTGCGATCAAAGCAATGTTGTTTCAGAGAAAAATATTATTTTATGAACTGCAAATGTGTTCCAGTGTCGACAGAAATTTTTTTCAAAAAGCTTATCCARCTGAGTTTGGCAAATTCAATATATATCAAGTTACATAACTAGCACGGGACGCCTTAATTCATTTTTTTTATTTCTCCCTTTTTAGATAAAAGTCTCGATTTTTTTTTTTTAATTCATTTTTCTATATGAGCACCTATGCACCCAATTTTTTTAGTCTTGCACCGTATTTCCGTCAATTATCTTGTCATTTTTTTGTTTTTCGATAGCTAGATAGCTGTCAACTCTTTTCTTTTTTTGATTTTACGAAATATCGACACAGTTAAACGGGAAATTTTTTTAATTTAAAACTATCCCAAAGTACAATGACTTCAGATTTTTTTCCTTGAATATTGCAAAGCATTCAATGGTAAGACAATTTTTTTCTAACGAACACAACAACATCAAATGAATGTAGTTTTTAAGTAGCTTTTTAAGCTATTATCTTACGTATTCTCTTGTATTTTTTTTTTTAATGGCTTTGTAGGAGCCATACGCTGGATAATTTTTTTCAAAAACCAGCCTAGAGGGAAAAACGAGAATTGAATTTTTTTTATTATCAGTCATGTAAACAACATGAGCTTGAATGTTTTTTTGTAAAGAAAAACAGAAATGTTAAACGCGCTCTCTTTTTTTTTGATCCTTGAAGCGATGTAGGACACCATCTTGAAGTCCTACCGCTTATGGGTACAAACAGCCTGTATTTCTTGGAGTATTTTTTTTGCCAAAACCACGCATAAAACGTCCTTGTCTCCACTTTTTTTCAATCGTGCTGGAAAGAAATGAAATCAGCAAATTCTTTTTTTTGGTCAGCGGTTGTTATCCAAGCATGCGCAACCGGTTTTTTTTGGCTGCGCTATTTGAGGATAACAAATTAAATTAACTAGAAATAAATCATTAAAAACGCAGGTGTTTGAATGAACTGTTTTTTTGAATAAAAATACCCATGTATAATACAAGACATCCATTTTTTTTTTTTGAAAAAGAAATGAAAGAATCTAGTTGAGACTTTTTTTTGAGAAAGACCCTGGCCTAGGCGATCAATTTGGAATTTTTTTATTCCGAGCTAATTAATTCCGAAATTATATTCACCTTTTTTTTCTCCCGGAATAACCCCCTCCTCAACAATCACTATTTTTTTTTTTATTTTTCATTGTATTCGTACTGACACGTGGTCTTTTTTTTTCTCATTATATTATAATTTTTGCCCAATTGGCACTTTTTTTATCAAAAGGTATATCTCACGGCCGTTTATTTACCTTTTTTTTCATAAATGCTGTCTTCTTTTCCCTTAATGTAGTACTTTTTTTTGCTATTAGTCCTTATTATAGTTAGGATAGAAAATTTTTTTTATATGCAGTGCCCTTTTCAGGACTCTTTCTATACATTTTTTTAAGATAGGAATATTTTGCCAAACCTGAACATCATATTTTTTTTTGGGTCTTATCAATAGTAATATATACCTTTGCTATTTTTTTTAAAACCGGGGGCACCGCACCTTGTAGAATCCTGAGGAAATAAAGTCTTCTATTTGCTTTTTTTTATAATGTTTTAATTTTTTTTTTAGTGTAGCTCCACTTTTTAAAAGTCATTACGCTTTTTTTTATACTCCAAGGAGCTGATGTATGCACTATACCGCTTTTTTTACTTGTTTTTTCAATAATATGKATTATTTATCCGCTTTTTTTATAGGGCTCCAAACACTGGTAGCCCAAGCTCTTTATTTTTTTATATAAAAATTAGGTAAAACCTAACAGCGGAGGTCTTTTTTTATATGGATGTTGGGTAAAGATAGGATGCAAGACACTTTTTTTGTTAGACTCATTTATTTACTAACAAAAAATAGTCTACAGTAAAAGCAATCAGATTAGATTCGGCGTTTGAACACGGGTTTTTTTAACTTCACATCACAGCAAACTGTACAAGAATATCTTTTTTTTTTTAGGCCTTGATTCTTGAACCTCCTATAAGTAGATTTTTTTTGTTTTAAATCATCTGCAAAACTGAATTAGAAAGCTTTTTTTAGGCATCCTATGAAAAACTCGCCTGTCTTATTCCTTTTTTTTAGCCTCAAAACTCTTGAAGGTAAATTTGTTTATATTTTTTTTAAATCGATTTCCCGGATGTGCGGACGCGTCGCAGTTATGACAAATTGGGAATATTTCTGTGCTTAATTTTATATTGCTTTTTTTTTGGATTTCTTTGTGAAATTTTTCTAATATTATATTTTTTTTAAGATAAATGTTTGAGGAAAAGAATGTCGGTGTTTTTTTTTTTATTTTGGTGGTTTTATTTTTTCTTTTCGCGCGGATTTTTTTTTTCCTGTGGTTGTAAACAGACGGAAAAGAAGGAGTTTTTTTACGTGCGTACGCCGGGATTCCTGTTTCGGTCCATGTTTTTTTGACTCGATGGTTTGCCATGGGCGCTTTCAATTTGTCAGAACTGGCTGGCCAGATCCAGAGAAAATGTCATTATATATTTTTTTTATTTAGTGGGGAAATTCACATTTTCAAATCTATCCTTTTTTTAGAAAACCTCAAAATGACTGAAAAATGTTGACAAATTTTTTTATATACCTCTAAATAGAGCGGACTGGCCGGACAGTTTTTTTTAAATGGAAAGCACCCCATTTTTTCACCTGCAATGTTTTTTTTAGCTATGGCGCTCCGCTCGCGCAGGCCAAAGGCCCTTTTTTTAGCTCCGCTATAATTTTTTAATAGCTCTGAAAGAATTTTTTTCCTCAGGTAAAATTTCAACTTTTGTTTCAAMATTATTTTTTTTCACTATGCACCTTTTGCAACAATATCAACTTTTGGTATTCGTGTTTCATCAATGAATTTTGTTTTACCATGAGTTCTTTTTTTACCAACAATACTCTATTTGACTCACCCATATCAACTTTTTTTATGTTTTATTCAAAAATCAACAATATAATTTCAAATCGACTAAATTTTCAATTACAGCGAAAATCGATCGTTGCGACTTTTTTTTTTCAAAGATTGTTTTGATTTTGTTCTTTCCTTGGAACTAAGGCGCGATGAAGCGTTTCGTAACCAGTGTTCAGTCATTGACTGATTTGCAGCAAGCCCCGAAGTCGCCACAAAAACCTAAATCCTAACGATTTCTTTTGAACATTGAAGTCACGATGCAATTTTTTTTGATGTAAACACAAGAGAGCAAGAATAAAGGTGTATTTTTTTTTTGCCCTTGCATAAAAGAAGACATGAAATCCATCTTTTTTTTTACTAAAGCAAAGAATTAACAATATTGCATTTTCTTTTTTTCATTGAGCTATATTCTATTTAAGTAATAGATAACTTTTTTTTTGTTTACATAGCCTGATGCAAACACGAGGGTAGGTTTTTTTTATTCGAGACGGTTATGCAAACCCGAGACGAAGTCGAGGGTTTGCATAACCAGCGAGAATTCTCCCAACCTGCCCGAGTGTTTGCATCAGGCTATGTAAACACAGGGAAAAAGTTATCTATTTTTTTTATAAAATAACTCTTTTTTCTAAAATATGGCTTTATTTTTTTTAGAATTCGRGTATAATTTTTATGATCAAAACTAGTTTTTTTCTTACCTCAAATATTTCAATGGCTTTTTCAACCAGTTTTTTTCAGTTCACGTTTTAACCGAACGAAAGGCGAAGTTGTTTTTTTTGACAAAATGTGAAAAAAAATGGCGGACGACGGCGTTTTTTTTTCTTTCTTTCTTTTTGCATCAAAATTGCCTTTTTTTTTTTTTTAGATGAATCATAAACTATGTGTTCTTTGAGGAGTTTTTTTGCATGTSTGTCAAAAGGTCAACTGGACGCAAAAAATTTTTTTAAAGGTAGGTAAAACCAGCAACGGAATGTATACTGTTTTTTTTGAATGAAAACATTTACATCTTCGTCGATTCACTGTTTTTTTGTAAAGCTTTATGTTMCGTTTCCTTTMAGAATTGGTTTTTTTATGATATCAAGATGAGATTTTTGAAAAACTGCAGGTTTTTTTTTGCTAAAAGACTTTGTTTTGACACTTTAAATGATTTTTTTTTAGCCGCTTCGACGTGCCGGCACTTCAGCATCACCTTTTTTTAAATTCACAAAGCCACAAATAACACATGAAAGCATTTTTTTTATGAACTCCGTTTCATGGATAAGAAGGTGGAATTCTTTTTTTTAGAGATTTTTTATTGAACTGGTATCTGCTAACAATTTTTTTCTGAAGATAATTTTATGCGAGCGATGCAAGAACTGTTTTTTTAATCCAAACCGTACGAAAATATTCCCAAAGCTACATTTTTTTACCTTGGTCGGATAAATTACGTTTAATAAATAAGCTTTTTTTCACATTTTTAGGTTAAACTAGTAGCTTGTTTATCGTTTTTTTGTATGTTACGAATTTATAAAGAGACTCATTATGAATTTTTTTTGAACTTAAAGAAATCTCGATTCTCAAGCGCAAATTTTTTTTTTCTTGTAGTACTTTTCTTAAGTAGTATCTCAATATTTTTTTAAATACTCGCTAAAATTCCTCAATTTTTAGCTTCATTTTTTTATGTAACTTGTTTTTCACACGTTATTTACAATAATTTTTTTTCAGTTAAGCTTATTACGTTTTTGATTTTTCACTTCTTTTTTTAAGTTGCTTTGTTTATCTATAGTTTATACCGAAGATTTTTTTCACTCAAAAACTAAAAAAAAATAGTAAAACTTCATTTTTTTTACTCATAACTAGTTGTTGCCAAGTTTTCGGATATATTTTTTTATAAATAGCTGATTGTTTTCCTATTCTACTTCTAGTTTTGAATCGCACTTGACAAAAAAATTGTGACGTCAAAACCATGTTTACATACTCTGATACAAACACGGCAGTCGGCCAATCAGAACGCGCGTAGTATCCAAGTTATTTTATAAAACCATATATAACTATATACAATGTATGAAAACTGGATTAATATTTTCATTCGAGCTTTCTAAGGCCAAAAGAAAAAAACAACTTAATAAGAAGTTTTTCATGTCCTATCATCTCATTTGTACAAGTTCAGCTTCACTAAAACTGAAATAACTTCTAACACCTACAAACTTGTCAAAAATTATCATACAAATTTATAAATTATTGCACATTAATTGATATAAGCTTATATTTTTACAAAAGAATATGTAATAGAATTTTCAAGAAAACTAAGAAATAATGAATAAATATATTATGTTTTTGGTAGTTACTTAGCAAATAATATCACAACAAATCTACAAGCGTCAAACATTGAATTATCTAATCWATGTATAACATGAGACGAGGATATTTATCCCTACAGAATTGTCTAGTTCCCTCTATGCATTTGGACGATATTTCATTTCCATACAGTTCTAGCCTAATGAGATTACTGGGGAAGTGTTCCATGATATAATCCAATCCAACATCAGTTATTTTATTACTATTAAGGTAAAGCCTGTCTATTTTTGTCTTTGGAAGATATTTACACAAACACTTTACGTTTTCATCATTCATACTACAACCTGACAGCGACAGTGCAGTGATTGTGCATTTTGGATGACTGATGAGACATGACAGCAAACTCTTTAATCCAATGCTGGTTATGGATGAGTCAAAAATGTACAATCTGTATGGTGATGATGGTATTGATGATGTAGCAGCAGATTCTATTAACATAGTGATTGCTCCACCACAGTCTGTGTCGCTTACACCATCTAATGCAATCCTCCCAACACTATTCCAGTATCTGTCGCCGCGGTTTTTAGTCAGTTCTTGTCTTGTCAAACGTTTTTCTTCACCAAACTCGTGCAGGCATCGCAATGACATCAGTCTTAGTCTGTATTTAAATGATGCATTCTCTATATGTTTATCTAGAGACTCTAGTAGTTCTAGCATTAACTTACTATTATTACTTAATCCTAACAAACCACTCATGAATGTATACACCATTTCAGTGGTTCTGTGTGCCGCCATTACACCTTTCTTCACCAAATACCGAGCAAAAAAAAACTCTTGAATGGTGGAGTGCGTGAAGCTATATTCCCAGATTGGCTTTTGAAATGGCGAATTATTACTTGAAACAGGATAACAAAATATAAGACTGCTAGATTTTATGCACAATATTTCATTTTCTGATACTTTTAGATTTTCTAAGTCTTGTAAGGTAAAACTAAATCTATTTTCTTTAGATAACTGTGCCGCTAACTTTGAAAAATTATCGAGCGTTTTGTCAACAGCCAACAAAGCGGCTTTGTCATCTAAACTAAGTATTGCTCTGTTGTAATTCTTTTCAATGCATTGAATTACTTGAAAATAAAACTCTGTAAGTGTGAGAGGACATGAATTATCGTGTTTTTTGATTTTCCACTCRATGAACACACACATCAACAAACAACGGAAAGGCACACGACCAAATAAAATGTAGTGCGCGCTTTCTTTAACCTTACTAAGTGCCGTGTTTTTTACTTCTTCAGGTTTTGTTCTGAAATATTTCTCAACAAATTCAATAACCTGTTGTTCTGAGAATCCTAAAATTTCCACATAGCGATCAAAGTGGATTTTTTGATCCAACTCGTCGGCTTCGCCCGGTCTTGAGGTTACCATAATGACGGAATCACTCAAGATCCTTTTTTGGATTAGTTTGCTKACAAGGGCTGTTACTGGCATCTTGGCTTTACTATCATTGGGTCCTTCATCATCTGTGAGTATTTTGCCGCGGTTTTTATATTCGTCAAATCCATCGAGAACAATGAATAATTTCTCCGAATGCTGAGAGAAATATTCCATTAGCGCGTCGTCTATCATTGTGGCTTCGTTGAGCAAAGGTGAGAGATTAAGCAGCTCTTGGAGACTGAGGTCTTTGTCAAGTGAGTTTAATAATCTGAAGGGAATCATGTAGGTGTACTTGACGTCAGGGATTGATATGGAGTCCTTGGCCAAATCCCTAACAAGTTGTTGCGAAAATAAGGTCTTTCCTATTCCTGGTTCTCCAGAAACTATTATTCTTTTAGGATTCTTTTTTTTAACCATTCGAATTTTTTCCCATAAMGTTTGGAGGAAACTCAGGTTTTCATCTTTGTGAACAAAAATTTCACTGCAGTGCTTGATTTCGGTCAGCGTTGTACGACCTACAGGGTTCTGCCCGCTTTGAATTTGTTCTGGACATCTTTCCTTTCCGTGAACAACCAAATTGGTGAAAATATCGTCGGTCTTCATTGGAGCATGTATTATTCCTTTAGGTTGAAGATCGTCCGTTTGGGTTATTATTGCTTCCTTTAATTTTTCGGAGTAAAGTTCCACATCTGTGAAGAAAAGAAATAATATAACTATTCAGCTCGCTTAGTTTTTTTAATGGACTGTTCTGGYCGTTGAAGTCGTCTTGTCAAAATTGCTTGTTTTAATTTTTTTAACTTCAAGAACTCCCCAATATAACGTTTACCATAAAATACCGATGTAACCAAAAAAAGTGAAATATGGAGTCAAGTTATTCAAAGACGACAAAGACACTATAAGAAATGACGTCAACAGAATTATGACGTCACACCTGTTAGCATGCATACAAAACAAAACAAAACATCACACGAGAGCAGTAACGTCTAAATATGATATTTAAGTGGCTATCTAGATACAGATATAGATATATCACTTTATGAAAATTACCTGATATCTATGACGTCATTGTGACGTCATATAGAAACCAAAAAATATAATTTCAAAGTCATTTCAATAATAAAGAGATGATATAATATTGCAGCATTCTCTGTGGCATTGTAGGCAGTTTATTAAAATGAATTATAAATCGTTAAAATGRCGTAAATGACGTCATAATTAAGTCACTTCTAGTTCCCACAGGTCAAAAGTGGGTGCGGTGGTTCGTTGTACGTGGGCAAACATTGTCTGAAACTTTTAAGGTCTTAGATTCATTGGTTCAGAAGATATAGAGTGGGGCGAATGAGACCTCCCCCCCTCCCCCCAGTCACAGATTGCAAAAAAAGCCCAGAGTCTGAATATGGTTAAATCTCCAAGTGAACGTGTAATATTCTGCTTATATATAGACACTGAATAAAAAATGTCTTTGTCGGGTCTGCCAGTGAATGGTTGAGAAAAGATTGATAGTACTGTCATACCTTTAGATGTTATCGGTCGACTTGAAGGTCGCTCTGGACTTAGTTGGTCTAGCTTCTGCTCTACGTTATCAACTTTTTCCAGCACTCTCTTTTCTGATTCCTTTACTTCATGGATTACTCTATCAGCCTCATCAGTGATCCATTCTTTTAAGCATTTGATGTAGTAGTCTTCATCTTCTTGATCGAAGGATTGTGACTTAAGACTATCAATGGATGTCTTGTTTACACCATGTCTTAACAAAACAATTTCAATTTTTTTCCAGTACTTGTTGAAATCAGCATCTGATAGAGCTGGTTCAGAAATGTGACCATAGAGATTATTACGGTATAATCTCAGCCTTACTACATCGTCTTCCACGTTAACACTTCCTGTAGCAGGCTCTTCGTTCCATCCTTTTACTGGTGTTGGCAAATTGCAGATATTGCGCAACAGTAAACTTAAAAGAGTTATGTCAAAACCTGTAGATGTTGCCATTCCTACACTTGGATACAGTCTGTTCCACTGTTCTGGCCGTAGAAGTTTTTTAGCCTTCAAATTCTTCAAGATATTATGAATCCTGCTGTCCATCAAATGTTTCTTTAGATCGTGAGGTGGATATTTGGCATCAAAAATGACTCTAAGGGCATGAGTTCCGCCATCGATCAGTAATTTGCACAATCGAGCAAAGTTGGTGTTTTCTTTTGTAATTGTTGACCATCCAGTAGCCATCTTAGTTTCTGTAACAGCGATAATAAGATCACAGGAAAGTGAAAGTGAAACCTTTGTGCCAAGATTTCCGGGTTTCTAGGGTAAAAATGTAGCTATCTAACTTGGAGACCTAGCGATCATCTACCGCGATTTTAATTCTTGTTTGTCTATTATAAAATGTGAAGTAAAATGAAGTRAAAATTTATCAGGCAAAGCTCCCCTTGCATAAGCTACATATTGTAATCATCTAAAGAGTGGCTTAAATCTTTGTATCGGGCTCCAGCAACCACATCATATCGTCACTAAGAACTAATAGCTGGCTTAAATACTCATGAGTATTATTATTAGCAATATTAGAGAGATTATAATAGTGAAATTGTACTTTATCTTAAAGTAGAAACATCCGTCGTGTACATGAAATCTGTAACCATAGTTAATTATGCTGTAACGAAAGCTTGCTACATGCAGAAATTTCTTCTTTCCGGGTAAGATCAGAGTAAACTTACCTCTAAGAATTATAAGGTTTGATGTCTTGATCTAAAGTTACTAAGCTGAAGTAATATTTTATAGGTGTTTCAAATCTTTTCCACTCTTTTGTTCGCCTATCTATGACACGTTTGACTTGGTAGAGATGCTGTGACATACGGCACCGCGGAAATACGTTTTTGCCAACTCGATCATTGCGTACAGCGGTTTCTCGAGCCTGGTAAATGGCGGCCATCATGGCGGCTGAGTTTTTGCGAATTGTCATAAAACATGTGTCTTTTTTAGGAGTTTTTTGCGTCTTCAGGAAATTTATTTTCATTTTATCTTAAGTTAAACTGCCAACTGACTTATTCAAACGATATTTGTGTCTTCAACCAATACAAATGGTGAGTTTTTCCATATGTTAACTAAGAGACGTGTGCTGCGTTTTATTAAAATATCGATCAATCATTCCGATAAATATTGCTTTGATTCCCAAGAGTTAATTCGTGATTTAAAAATTATATTACATGCTTTTACTAAGATATATGAACAGTTGTTGTTCTTTATCTCCTTTGTGTTTGGTGGTAACTGAAATGACTTGTTTACAAACGCAGACAATTAATTTACACTTTTTCTAAATACGAGTCCAAAAGTCGTAGCTCGTTGGAATAGTTCCAGAAATGTTTTATGTTTGAACTTTGCTTTAATTTGAAAGTAATMATTGTTCTCAAAGTTTTGTATTTTCAGAAATTATTTACAATCACTCTTCCAATTTTAATTTTGACTTGTTGATTATATGAAGAATTTTCGAAGATGCGTTTTTAATGTGCTTCTTGAATGAATCTGACTTGAAGTATTTAGCATCTTTGTTTTTAGGGATGGTGTAATCATTGTCGTCAGGACCGTCTCCTCCTTCATCATCATTATCATCAGCACAGAGGTTTTCATCTTCTGCAACAGGTTTTAATAACTGGGTATTCCAGGCTTTGGATAGCTTCTCAACATCTTTGATGATATTACCAAGAYATACTTTGCATTGGTTGTTTTGAAGGCACTGGATGTGGTAGGTGTGACCACATGTGAGCCTCTTGATTTTTCCATYGAAAGCTCTRCAATCTTCAAAATCACAATCTAAATCACCATTTGGTTGGGTTGCAGGCCATCGATAGCTCAAAGGAAGGTATTTTCTTGAGAATACAGGACCAAATGATGCCAATTTGAATGAAGACTTGCCATATGGTTTACCAGCCTTGTTGATAGGTCTGGGTAGCTG